TGGTGGAATCTCCTTCCTTAGAGGTTTTTATGGTCAGGCTTGACAAAGCCCTGGCTGGGATGATTTAGTTGGGAATTGGTCCTGCTTTGAGCAGGGGGTTGGACTAGATGATGAGGTCCCTTCCAACGCTGATATTCTATGATTCTACCCATATCCAAATTGAATGATCAACTACAGTGAATGTTGTCTTAATGGCCATTTTTCTGCATTCAGGGCCAGTGTGTGATCTCTGTCACACTTGTGTAAACCCCAAGTAACTCCATCCTAGTCAATGGATTTACACTGTTCTGACTGAGCTCAGAATCTGTCTCACAGTGTATAAGCTGCACTGTGCAGGCCTTTCCTATTATATGGTCTGCATTGATGGAATGCCCTGTATTCATTAAAGGGCTGCACAAGCAGGATGAGAGATGGCATACAAGCAGTTTAAGTAAAAATTCTGGACTGCCTGATGGTCTAGTGAGTAAAATGTTGTACTGTCTTGTAAAAGGCCGGAATTGGGGAGCAATATATTGTCTGTTCCTTGAGCAGGCTGAAACTAGGGGTGTTGTGAAAATAATGCTTAAGAGAGGGCGTAGGTGAGATGGGCAACCTCACTCAGGCCAGCTCAGACGTATGCTGCTGGAACATAGCCAGGAAGACTTGGGACAACACATGTAGGAAGCATCTGATTGAAATGGGGTAAGAGAGATTAAATAGTCCAAAGCGTAAGACTGGTGTCCCATTCAGCCAAACTGGCTGTTTCCATAGACTGGGGTTCTCAAAGGAACCCCAGGGAGTTAAGCACTAGAGCTAGGTGGGAAATGGTTTTCCCATCTCAGGAAAATTTTTGAGATTTGGAAAAACTTTCTCATCTCAAATCGGGGTGAAAACTTAATCTCAAACATTTTTGCAAACTGAAAATCCAAAAAGTGTTTTGGTTCGGGTCTGTCAAAATGTTTCCATTCAATTTTGACCTTTTGACATTTATATTTTTTTTACTAGAATTAATTTCAAAACACAAATCTATTTCAAACCAAGAAACCTGAATTTTTCATTTTGAATATGTCAAAACAGGACATTTTGACAATTTGGAAATTTTTCCAATTTTTTCCTAAATAGGAAATTTTGTTGAAATGGACACTTCCCATAAATGGTTTCAATTTTGACAAATTGGTATTTTTTGACAAAAATATGCTGAGTCAAAACATTCCCAACCAGCTGTTAGGCACTCAACTCCCATTAAAGTTCAGTAGGATTTGAGATTCAGATATCTTATTCCCTGAGGTTCCTTTGAAAATCCTAATCTTTATCACTAGCCCTGGTGTCTGAGGTCCTGCCTGACACACCCCCATGCTGAGAGTAGCAAAGTGAAGGATTCCCTATGCTCTGATGCCTGGTGATATATGCTACTAGAAAGAGACAAAGGAACAAAATAATTTAAGTTTTCACAAGTGGAATGAGTGTTGATGATCTCAGCTCCAGAGGTGAGCTTGGATATTGCCATCTGACTGCCCTTAGTTGGCACTAGATGAGACTTTACAGTTAATTTCAGAAATGGCAGGGAATAGATTCCAATGTCAGTTTTATTTTACTTTCCCCACAGTGATTCCAAGTTGACCCAGTTGCTGGAAGAAGCCCTGGCCAGGAACAGCAAGACCACGGTTATTTTCTGCCTGTCTCCAACCTTAGATTCTTGGCACCTAGCGGCTGTGCTGAAGACCTGTATAGCTCTCTCGCAAGTTAAGAACTTCCCTGTTTTAAATGAATACTTTGTAGAGGTACAGTATAAATCCCAAATCCCTAGATTCTGGCCTCAGCTCAATCTTTTCTGGGAGGAATCTAGACATTTAATAGGGCTGGGTTGCTGAACACTGAATATTAATGGCTGCTTAAACTGCAACATCTATGTCAATATGATGGTTGGGTTCATAGTGCATTGTTCGTTGGGTTAAAAACAGGGCTGGCTTAATAGGTCACCGAAAGATACAAACGTATGTTCAACTGCATGATTCATATCTAAATTCAACCAGCCAGACTAAATTCAACCAGTGGATGTTTGAGTTTGGTGATGTGGTGCTTGCATCCTCATTTTGTGATGATGCCCTAGGAAATTTTGCACTGTGGGAGACCAGAGCACAGAAAAGATGAGAAGGTTGGCTACTTTTCCCCTGCTGTGCTTTCTCTCCTGCCACTTCTGCCCCATCCCAAAAACCTCAGTCCTGCTTGGTGGCATGTGATTATGGATATTTTGAATTTTCTGAATTTAGCAGGTAAACTCAAACCTGAACCCAACATCTTTTGATATTGCCCAGCATTAGTGTTCTCAGACCATCATGGGCTGGAAACATTGGAGATGATGCTCTGTCCTGAGTGTAGAGGCAAAGCTCTTTTCCACCCCCAGCGGCTAGTTATAGAATAGCATTTCAACCTCCTTCAAAGATTTTTTCCCGTTCCAGACACAGGGTAAGTATACTTCATCTATAGGGAGAGGGTGCTTTATAAACCAAGGATTAGGGGATGGGTGAAAACCTCAGAATAAATATTTTGACTCCCTCCTCCAGTGTAATGAGAGTCCACTTGGCATATGCCTGGCAATCAGCAAGTGGCACATCAGAAGATGGCAGTCCCAGTTTTGTGTGTTTCAGTTTAGCCTCATTTCTCCAGATCAGAGACATCTCAGTACAGACTAACTTATTTGTGTTCCACTGGTTCTGGAAAGGTACAGGCAGAGTTCCTCTTTACACTGAATTCATCCCAGGTTCTACATTTCAGGAATGTCATTCTTCTAGGATATGTCTGTGAGTGAAACCACTTCCTGAGACTGAAGCAGACCAACCCACGTCTCTGTTGCATGTATAGATTGCTGTCTTATTGCAGTATCCTGCCCAGAATAGAAGGGTTACAATGATCTGACAAAGAACATTTAGTTATTTAAAAGAATATGATCAGATAGGAAGAATATGGGAAAAATACAATAAAGATACAAGTGAGATGTTTACTGAGACCCTTATACAACAAAGAGGGGGATCTGCTGAGCTTTCCTTTGAAACCTCTAGTATATGCCATGGGAGCAATCAGGATACCAGACTGGATGTGTCATTAGTCGCTTCCTCTTTGGCAGTTCCTAGGAGCAGGTGTAGTCATTTGCTCCACCTCAAACAAAATGAAAACCACACCCTCTAGCAACCTGAGTTGATAGCAACCCTGTGTATGCTATCCATAAAGGAAAGAACTATTGGCAGATAAAGATTTTTGTCACCAAAATCCCATCTCCGGTTCTTTCTTTGATCCTTAGTCATTGCTTACTCAGTACTGGGCAAGGATCCTGGCCCTTCAGCACCGACTATATGAACACATGGATCTTAGGAGTGCCATGGAGAGTGAGAGCATAAGCACCCTCCGAGAACAGGTCCAGTGCCTCACCAATGAAAATGTAAGTGTGAAATGCAAATTTGTCTTCGGTGCCTTTCCTGCATACTGAGTCAGGTATTTTGAAAACTTGATCCTAATCGCAGGATGAAAATGGCAACTGACAACCCCCTTTCCAATCTGTTAAAGCCACTGTATGCAGAAAGCTGTGTTTTCTCATCATGTAAGCTTCCCTTCCCCCAACCTGGCTATCTGTGCAGTGCTGTGCATGGGGGAGAAGATCTTGTTTCTGCTCAGCATAGGGAGTCACTGGAGTTGTTTTGTGTACCCAGGTGCAGCTGCAGGATAGGAATGAAAGACTGTACACAAAGCTTGAAGAACTGCAGGAGAAGATGGGGAAGCTGGCTGGTTCCAAAACAGACTTGTCATCCAGACTGGTCTTCAGTGAGGAGGAGAAACTTAAGGTAATGCATGCACCTTGGGAGCTGGAGGTACTTGAGCTGTTGAACCCCACTGAGCCCAGAAATATATGGGTATGTAGAATTCTTGGGAAATGTAAAGATATTCTCCCTGAATGTCTATAAAAACATGTGCACTCCCCAACAGCCAGGGCTACTCTACTTATTCCTTCTAGTTACTTCTGCTGGGGAAGGCTAGGACTGGTGCACTATGTCAACTTCCAGATAGCCTCTATTCCACATCACTTCCTTCTGGAAAAGGCTGAGATGTCTCAGAACGTGATCACTAAATTTCATAGTTTTTACTTGCCCTTTATACTCTTCTTCTTTGGGGTTATAAGGGAATCCAGTCTTGGGTGTCTCCACAGTTCTCAGCTGATGTGTCTCAGCATCACTATATTTTAATATTAAGGTGCAAAACTCTTCTCAGCTTTACCTATGGAGCCGTGGTCAGTGCCTCCATAATAAGCTGGTGCTCAGATCACAAGAGGCATGTCTGCTTGCAGATCTCTTTTGTGCTTATATTTTTGGTCTAGACCTGTTGGCATAATCGGTAACATTGAAGTGTTGGCCTCAATGGCAGTCCCTGAACTTTAACTGAGGCTCACAAGCATTCCTGGAGGCTAGCCTGCTTTCTCTTGGCCAAATCCTTAGTCCCGATTCAGTCGCTGCTCAGGCAGAACTCCCATTGTCTTCAGTGGGACATTTATCTGAGTGAAGACTGAATGAAGACTGTAGGATTTGGCCCACAGACTGGAAACATAAATACAAGGGCTTCTCTTTTTCATAAACCTTGTCAGGCTGGCTAGTCTGGCATTACCCTGTGTGACAAAGTTCTTCCTCTACCTTGGTGGGTCCTGCGCTTATTGGCGGATTTTCTCGCCTCACAGATTCACCATGTGGGTCGGAAAATAGCCCAGAGACCTTCCCCTCTGGTAGGGGCCACAGTCCAGGTCAATTCCTCCTGTGTCTGCTCAGGAGTTGGAAGGTTTGGGAGGAACCAGGGCCCACCCTTTATTCCAGGTTCCAGCCCAGGACCCTGTGGACTGCAGCTGTCTAGAGTGCCTCCTGATACAGCTGCACAACAGCTACAACTCTCTGGGCTACTTCCCCATAGCCTCCTCCCAACACCTTCTTTATCCTCACCACAGGACCTTTCTCCTGGTGTTTGATAATGCTTATACTCCTCAGTCTTCCAGCAATATGTCTTCTCACTCTCAGCTCCTCTTGCTCCCAGCTCCTCACATGCATACCACAAACTGAAGTGAGGTTCTTTTTAAACTCATGTGCCCTGATTAGCTAGCGTGTCCTAATTGATTCTAGCAGTTTCTTAATTGGCTCCAGGTGTCTTAATTATCCTGCCTGTCTTAATTGGTTCTAGCAGGTTCCTGATTACTCTAGTGCAGCCCCTGCTCTGGTCACTCAGGGAACAGAAAACTACTCATCCAGTGATCAGTATATTTGCCCTCTACCAGACTCCTGTACCCCACTGGTCTGGGTCTGTCACACCTGGCAAACTGGAACAGGCATATACCACCTTCGCATAAAGGGGGAGTCACAGAGTCTCTTGAACGGATTCTACAGGGTAAAATATCTCTGATTTCAAAAGTAATTTTTTGAAGAAATCTTACCTCTCATTGTCCTTGAAACCCCACTTATGTCCTGTAAGCCCTCATTTCAGGAAACTGGAATTTCCTGTTGCGGATTTCTGTACCTAAGATTACAGTCCAGTCTCATTTGTGTCTCTCGTAGATTTCTAAGGACCTCATTGATCTCCAGATCGAGACAAACAAAATGAGAGAGCAGTATGAGGCAGAGAACTTTGAACTGAAAAATATGGTATGTGGCACTATAATACTGCATTACATTCTGTATGCATTAGCCCATCTCTGCTGCTCTTCTAAATCATCCTCTGTCAGATACACTGACTCTAGGGCTAGAATCTAGAATCTTTGGTGTGCACCTAATACCCACAGTTTGTCCCTGACTCTTGCTAGAGCTGTCATTCTCCCTTCACTTGCATGAGCATTGAAATGCACTCCCAAACTTGTCAGTTGTGCGCTAAGCCTGATGAGAACCTGTTTGTCCAAGTGAAAACCTCGGAATGTTACACTGCCCCACTCAGTTCCTGTTGTAGAGTCTAATTGTGCCTCCTGCACACTGTAGATCCTGACCCTGGAGAACCATATTCTGGAGTTGGAGCTCCATGATGAGAAGGTCACTGGGGAGCATGATGCCCTACAGGAACGCCTGCACACTGTGGAGACCAATCGCAAGGAGCTGGCTGATGAGTACATCATTCTGAAAAGCAATTATATGGCCCTGGGCAAAGAACATGAACAGGAGGTGAGTGAGACCTGCTAACCTGCTGAGTTTTCCTCACAATGCAGGCTTTGCTCTCACTGATGCTGCCCTCCTCCTCTGTGCACATGCCTGCCTGCTGCCTCTTCAATTTCTACTTTGCTGTTGCTGGAGAACATCTTCCTGTAGGGCCTGGGAAAGAGCATGAATGTGAGCTCCTCACAGAGCAGCCTTATTTGTTAGTGCATGAACCAGGATGTGTAATGGACCGTAAACAAAACAGTGAAACTGCAGTGAAACTACACATAAAATATTGTCAGAATAAACATACTGAACAAATGGAGAAGGATTTTTTGGGGTACTTTCTTTTAGTAATCTTAGTTTCTTTTTACCCATGGGAGGTATGCAATTTTCAGGTGGAAATGTGATTTTCAAGTTGACATGTCCCTTTAAAATTTAAATTATAGTTTTAATGGTATAGTAATAATATCTAGTATATTCAGCCAATGATCTAAGAGCACTTTACAAAGGTAGGTAAGTGTCAATAAGCCCATTTTACAGGTATGGAAATAGAAGCACAGAGATTAAGTAATTTGCCCAAAGTCTCACAGCAAGTCAGTGGCAGAGTCAGGATTAGAAATCTAGGGTGAAATTCTGGTTTCATTGAAGTCAATGGGGCCAAGATTTCATCAGTAGTCTCTTGACTTCCTGTCCCCTGCCTTAACCACTGGACTCACTGCTGGAATCGAGTGATTTTCAATTAGCTAGCTGGGACTAGTCACAATGTGTGGCTTTTGCTCATTATTTTTTCAGTACAGATTTTTCAAAAGGAGCCTCAGGTTCAAAACCCGCAGTGGTCTCCTCAGGACACAATGAGCCTCTGACACTCTTCTAATTATGAGCTGTCTGTGAACTTGCCAGTGTGTTGTCATGGCTGCTTGGCCCAAAAGCATCTCTGTGAACTCATTCGTGAGCTCTTGTAAATAACAGGGAGAGTCTCCAAAGCATTATGAAAACAATTCTGTGTTTCTATTCAAAAATTGCTCTGTGTCTGTCCAAGACAAATGAGATTGGCTGGATTGGCCTTTTTAGCCATACGGCCCTTTTGGAGAAGTCCGTCCTCTAAGATGTCAGTCAGTCATTTTGAGGCTGTTAGCAAATTTATTGTAAATCCTCTTTCAAGTCAGTTAATCTGTGGTCTACACTCAGCCCTACCCTTCTTTGCAGGGGGGTGTGTGTGTGTGTGTATTTTGATGTTGGCGGTGTGCAGATCAGCCATTGCAAGGCCCCCAAATGGCCATGTAAACTGCCTCCATACTGGGCCATCCACCCTGAAAGGATCAGGATTGCTGTGTAAGGGAGATAAGGAGAAGCTTCTATTGTGATAACTGGGCCTACAAATTTACCTTGTGAGCTTAGCTGTTGAAGGAAAAGAAAGAAAGAAAAGAAAATTCATAAGATGTCCCAATATGCAATAATAACAAATGATGATGGGGAAAGGTGCAAAAGGGAGATAAAAAGACTGAATTAGTCTGAACCAAAAGGCCTCCTGATATAGCTCAAGGACTGTGTTAAGATCATGCCTGGTAAACAAGAAAATGTGGATCCAGAAATCAATTAACTGACATCGATGTGTCCGATATTAGGCCTAATTGGTGGACAAAATAATGGGGAGATGGGCTATTCCAGCCATCACACCCCTTGTGGGTCCTTGAAGAAAGAGGCTTTGGGAGGAAAATACAGAAGAACAGACAGAGGCTACTGGAGCGAGCTTCACCATAATAGCTGCCATCTCCACTGTCTCCTGGGACTCCAGACCTCCTTCGTTCTAATCCTCAGAGATATCCAGACTGGCCAGAGAGAGGGACCCTGATAACATCGCCATCTCTTCCAGTTCCAGCTGAATCCCAAACACTGCCTGGGATGAAACAGGATTGGATTATAACAACAACAGCAACAATGACAGCTCAAGCCCATCTAAACTAACTTCTTCTCTTTGGCCCCAAGGTTGCAGTTATTTCCATTTCAGATACCATCTAAGAGAATGTCCGACCAGGGGGGTGGGCGTTTCTTTTGAAAGCTCTCTCCAATGGAAAAGGGAATGGGGATGTTGTTACGATGAACGTCTTATTTCATACTTTACATTTCAAACCCTTTACCTCTTTTTTCCCCTTCTTTTCTTTGTCTTTAACAAAAGGTTAAAAGGATTTTTAATGGTGTGTTTGCCATAGTACCAAGCAAGCTGAGGTCTCTGAATACTAAACCCAGATCTTGTTTAACACCGTTTAATGTTGGACAGTGACTGTATTAACACCTTTGGCCCATATATTCCATCTAAATCAATACAATACTACTTCTGATTTACCGGAGGGTGCTGTGGGGTTCTTCAGGGACATTGGGAGGTTGTGCAACTTCCTCAAAATAGCCCTTTGCAAATCTTGGTCCTGTCTCCCTGTAGCTATCCACATAAAGCAAAATCTCATGCAGCCTTTCTTTTCCTTGGGAGCTCCTGTCAGCTTTTACAGCTGTATCTCTCATCCGTTTGTCAGTCTCTCTTTTCTCCTCCCGTCACTGCCTCAGCCCACCCTATGTTATCTTTTGATCACCCATTATTGAAATGGATGACTAAGGTTACCAAAGCATCACATCCTCCAGGATTCAGCGAATTGGTAACAATTACTCAAACTTGTCCTCAGTCAAAAACCCCATCAGAATTTTGTTATTTAATCCTCCCTTGAGATATGAATTCCCTCACTATTCACTCCAGATCCCCTGTAACTGAGCCTTTCTAGTTGAGATGCTGTTTATCCTTCCAAAATGTGTCAACTTCCTACTGGCACTGCATTGAATCTGAATGGCTAGGTGGTGCTGTGGGTTAATCTACTTCTGGAGGTCTGCGTTCAGCTATAATAAAGATCAAAAATGAAATGACTTGGGTGGCATCAGCCTAGTTCCTAGAGGATATCTGTCCATTTTTTGTAACACCATTCAATTTGGTCACGAAAGGTCCAGGACTAGAATAGTAAGGGGCACTGCAGGTCAGGAGTGAGAGGCATTGGCAGAGCTGAGAGGGTGGGGAAGAGGATTAGCAGGAGGACCTGCAAGTCCTGAATGGCAGAGCTGTGTGAGGGCTCCAGAACTGGAATAGCATGGATGCTGCAGGGGAGAATTGAGGGACATTGGCAAAGCTGTGTAAGGAAAAAAATCACACAGCAACACCTCTGCTCTCTCTAGCTGGTTCTAGTCAATGGTACCAGTCCTGCCTTTTCATGAGAATTAAATAGTTCACCACCATATTCAGACAGGTGAGAGAAAAAATCTGCTATCCAGAGGGATAAGAGTGAATGCTTTGTGTATATAAAGAACTGCATGTGCATGATGAATAATACACACTGAGAGCTGGAGAGGGGAAAGATTAAGAAATGAAACAGTTCCCTTCTTGTTTTACTTTGCAGGTTGCTAAGAATGAAGAGCTGAGCATAGAGCTGCTAAACCTGGTCAACACCAGGAGCTCCCTTCCTCAGTCATGGAGTAACAACTCTCCGTCCCAAGCGCTGGCCAATGAAACCTCAGCTGAGCTGGAAAGGGTGCGGGCTGTGGTCCACCGCCTCTCTGCCCGGAAAGTGAAGGTATGGACTTGTCTGGCCTCCTAGGTAGTCTGATCTCCTTGCTTCCGCCAAGAGACCAGAATCTGACCACTGCCCTGTTCTGTTTTTTGAAATCAGCCAGAAGATATAGTTGCCTCTGAACACGAACGTCGAAAACTGGAGAGACATGTGAGTGTGGAACACTGCATGTGTATCTGAGCTGTGTACTTGTGATTATTTATTGTGTGGGGTTCATCCTCCCTGCCCACCCTTCCCCCATGCAAAACATCTGTCAGACTGAATTTGGAGAATTGCCTACACCTAGTTTCTTGAGAGCTGTGTAGTTACCAAATAGCATGTACTCTCTCTTCAGGTTGTTTGTTAGAAAACTGGATCTGCATTGTTTTATACAGTGTTTTATACAGTGACTTCTGCAAGGAGAGGCTGCAACTGGAGGAGCTGGGAGCTTCCCCCAGCCATTTTCATTGGGCAGATATAGACAAGAGTTTTAAAGGAAGTGGGTCTGTGTTACCAGCTAAGTGCATGTTCACCATAATCTCACAGAAGGGTTGGCTCAGTGGTAGCACCTCTGCACTGCTGTGTGCAGGAGACTCCATCCCATTCTCTTGCCCCCAGAGCTGGGAGAGCTGCACAATCAATCCACATAGTATCCCCCTGAGGGGAAAAGAGCACAGAAATCACTGAAGTCAAGCGAGCTGTGCCTGCTTACGCCAGCAATGTATTCTGCTGATGTTTCAAATTGCTCAACAGTGAATCTTTGACTAGTTAAGGGAGTATTAGCCTTCATTTCTTGGCTGAATGGATGGTGTGAAAATGAGGGATCTTGAGAGCTCTGCTAGGGACACAGATGACCTCCTGGAGGTGGTGGTGAGAAAGCAAACCCAGAATGATGGGCTGGAGTAGCCTCTTGCCTTAGTTGCATCATCATTTGTGTGATATTGACTAGTGCTTCAGTACCTGCCATTCAGTTTCTCATGGTAAACTGACCCTCCTATCCACATCTCATCTGAGTCCACTCTTAGTATGATGATACCTATGCAGCCAGGATAGATTTAACACAACCTTCCTATTGTATTAGCTGTATTGTAGTGTATTAGCTGCTCCCTATTCAGTCTGCCCTTTCCCCTGGATTTCACTTGGCCCCCGTTAGCACACATCTTCCCAGCAAGTGGCAATCCGTTAGGTAACTGGTAATTTTTTCTCATTCTCAGTGAGCTTTCTCTGCAGTTCAGTCATTCTCTTTTGCAGGATGCCTTTCATCTTCCCATTCATTCTTGTCCTTTAGATGCTTGGAAACCAGGATCACATAAAAGCTGAGATTGAAAAGATGAAGCAAACGTACGATTCTCAGCAACAGAAGCTGGAACAGAGAGTGTGAGTGTTTGAGGCCATCCCACCCCCTAGTACAGTTGTCTGCCTGGCCCCTCGCACTGGAATATCTCAGCCTCACCAACATGAACAAATTGAATAGCATCCCCATTTTACAGCTAGAGATAAAGGCTAGGAGTCTCAAGGGGCCCTGTGGCTTTTAGGTGCCTGTCCCCTATTGAAGTGGGATTTGGGTCCCTAAATCCCTGATGCCCCTTTGAAAATTGGAACCTAACTGACATGTCCTGGATCACACAGAGTCTGTGACAGAGCATGAACTGAGCCCAGGACTCCAAAGTCCCTGTGTCTTGAGCATATGATCATTCTTCCTTCCATCAATAGGCAGAGACTGAGGAGCTCAGTTCATGCTAGGGGAAAGGCTGGTATTGGGAGGGGGTTGCTCTCCCTTTCACATTAGCAGGCTTGGGATGAAATTTGCCTTTGGTTTCAAGTGAACTGAGTTTGATGGTCTCAGCCTAGCATACAGTGGTCCACAGTTGGTAGTATCTGCTTAGGAGATACCTGTACCTGGATATCAGGCTTGTTTGGGCTGCTCAGCCTTGAGGACATAAATTGGCAATGTTGCATGGAGTTGTGGGGTAGGACAGGTGTATAGCTCCTGCTTATGCTTTTTATGGCTCTAATCAATACTATCTGTTCCTTGCCTTAAGTATTACAGTATGCCAAATGGCCTGGACAGTATTCTGGGCCAATGGAGCAGCCATTGATGGAAGAGCACCTCAGTGATTAAAGTGAACATGTCCCCCATTCTGTGTATGCAGGGTGGCAATGGGGAAGGAGCTGCAGCAGTCCAAGAGAGTGATTCGCAATACTCAGCACAAACTGGTGGAGCAGTCAGTGGTAAGATCCCTAGGACCCATCCTCTGACACTGTGACTCACCTAGATTGTCAGCTTCTCCTTTGGTTGTACAGCACCATACACTAGTAACTTGGAGCCAATAGCAAGATGGGTGAGGCTCTGATCTGGAAGTCTCCCCTCCATGAAGTCTTGTCAGCATCTCATTCTGCAGGAGGGCTTGATCAATCTCGACCGCTGTTTCTGATAGCAGGGTCAGACTATATCCAGGAAAAACGCCTGTGTACAGCACATTTGTGCAGCACTATGGAGCAGGGCCAGCTCATCCTCCATGGATGTGTCAAGTTTTGTGCTTCTGTCTCTAAGAAGCCAGAAACTGTCAGTTCCTCTGGATAAATGAACCCCCTTAGTACCTGGAAGATTCAGTTCTTCAATACTAAGGGGCTATGTAAATGAGTTGCTGAGTCTTAGTCCAATTCTTAGTTATTGAACAGCTCTGTGCCTCAGATTCCCTATCTATAAAATAGAGGCAATAAGAATTTCCTCCCTCACAAGGTTCTGAGGCTTCATTCCATAATGCTTGTAAAGTGTTTTGAGATCCCCAGAGGGAAGGTGCCAATGAAGTGCTCAGTTGGTGCCCAGATTCTCTGGGAGATGGGCAGCATAGAAATATGTGCAGTAAACATTTCCTGAGTTGTTCTTGGATGACAGCAGAATCTTCCCTCCCTCTCTGCCCCTTATGAACTGTCTCTTGTGGTCCCTTATGGCCTGCTTTTAAATAGTGCTCCTTTCCTGGGAAAGTGGACTGTTTGAAAGTAAAGTTTCTAAGTTAACCTTCCTTTTCCTATTGAATACTAGTGATTAAAGCTCTTCTGGCCAATAGGAGGCTCAGGGAAGAGCCTGATTCCCTGGGGGTGACTGTATGCTTCCTGTGCTGTAGGTGCTGCTCACCTCTCAGAGCCAGCTCAAAGAGGTGGAGGTTGAGAATTCCCAACTGCAACTTCAGCTGAAGGAACTGAATGAGGAATATCGCTGTCGTCTTACTCAGTACATCAAGGACCTGGCGGTGAGGATCCCTGCCACATATGGGCATCTGCATTTCCTTTCTTTGGGTTTAGTTATTCCTTCTGGTTTTACAGGGCAGACATTTGAGTTTGGGTACTGCCCACTGCTCTCAAACCACTGCTGTTTCCCTCTTCGAGCTGCAGGCTAGTGGAACATGCAGTGCAGTAATACCACTCTGTCTGATGGCTGTAGGGAGAATTGAAGAATGGGATCTTTTCTCCCTCTTTATGAAAGTCTAACTGTACACTGCATGTGCTCTGATTGCAGCCAATGAGTCTGGGGGCAGGAGTACCCAAATCATTCCTTGCACCAGATTTCCCATGTGACAGCCCAGAACAATCACTGAGTCTCTGCCATGTCTCTCTCTCGGTCAAGTTATTTTAATTGCACTTTCATTTTATTTATTATGGCTACTTTTCAATTGGCTTCTAAACCCAGTGCCCTGAAAGTCTCTCTCAGCAGGCCAGACTGTGCCACTTTTGGCTTCACAGTGTGCTGACTCCATGGTTTGTGGTAAAAGAATCCTCCCTTTTTTCCTCCGGGAGGAAACATGATCCATGGCCCCTTCACCTTTCCTGCTGTATCACAGAATCTTGTAACATGAGTGGCCTAAGGTTATTATGGGAATACATTTCTCTGGCATGCAACCAGTCTTGCAGAGGATCACTGAGGACTCAGAGCACTGCAGAAGTGTCAGACTTCATGGCATAGGACCTACACTGATCCCTGAGTACATTCTGCAGGACAGTTCATTGAGAAAAATTGGCCATATCTTGGAAGAAATCTGCTAGTCTCTCCACCCAAGGTAGCAGTACAGAGTCTTTGCCAACAGCTCCAAGAGATCGCAGTGTGGTGATGGATCAAGAGAACAATTGAAGGGAACCTTTGCTAAGAAGAACAGTTCAGTTTCTAATAGAGCTATGTAATCTTCTGAACAAACAAGGAGTCAGAGATAGTGTGGCCTAATAGAGTGAGCAGAGGAATAGAAGCCAGCACTCCCACCTCTGCCACTGACTGTGTGTCCAAGGCATTAACGTCTCTGTGCCTCATTTTCCCCACTTGTTGGAGGCTAGTTAGTTTGTACTGCACTTACTAATTGGAAAGTGCTGTAAATTTTAAGCATTCTGATGATGAGGAGTTCTCCTGTGTACCGCCATGCAGGACAGGGAGTAGCCATCCTAATACATTGGTCGAGTGTCTTAGGAAACAGCCATTCCTTGTCCAGCAGTCTGCTTGAGCTGATTTCCTTCTCTGTGTTTAAAGGAATATATGGACAGTAAATCAAATGCTTCTAAGGTGCCTAACAAAGTACCAGCTGACCATGCTTACATGAAGCGCTTTGTGGATGGCATGGTGAAGGACATTCGGGCTGCCCATAAATCTCGGGAAGAGCAGCTGGCTGGAGCTGTGCGTGGTTACAAGAAGCGCATGCAGAACCTTGTCAAGAGGCATGAAAACCTGCTGATTGCTTATAGGTAGGTCAAGGGGCTTTTGAGTCTTTTCTGTAGCCATGAAAGATCATCATCCCTCTAAAGCACCCAGGTAAGGACTGCTTAGAACAATTTGGGCTCTACAGTCCTTCAGAGCAACACCACACCATCCTCCATTAATGGTGGAGAGGCAACCAGAGGCTAGTGATTGGAACGGAGAATTTGTGGTCTGGAGACTTGGGTTCTGTTTTTGACTCGCTAAACACTCTTGAAAATCAGAAGCAAAGTGTCTCAACTTATGCACCCAAAATTGGGACTCTTCTCAAAATTCAGGCATTCTTTGTGCCTTAGTTTCCCACTATGTAAAATGTGAATTAAGACACTGGCTAAACTTTGTAAAGCTCTATAGACAAGAGGTGCAGTACAAATGCACAGCACTTACCATATATACTCGTTCATAAGCCGAATATTTTTGGTAAAAATGTGGTGCATCAAAGAGCGGGGGATGGCTTATAAATGGGTCTACACCAAAATGTGATGGTTTTAAACTCTATGGAATCATTGAATTGAATATCTAATACACTGTCATTTTGTTTACCTGGAGCGTCTGCAGGCATGGAGCCCCTCAGCTCCCTGTGGCTGGGAACGGCAAACCGGAAGTTCCCGCAGCTCCCATTGGCTGGGAATGGCGAACTGCAGCCACAGGGAGCTGAGGGGCTCCATGCCTGCAGACGCTCCAAGTAAACAAAACATCCCGTCAGCGGCCTACCCTGACAGGTTGGGAGCCAAAGTTTGCCGACCCATTTATTGATGTCAACACTGCACCCTTTTAAAGTTGCAAAGGCTTTGTTTAGTGGACTAGATTGGCTTGAAATGGACCTCATAAGTCTCAAGCCAATATGAAAATATAATGTGCAGAATTGATGAAATCTCTAATAAAATTGAAACAGCCTGTTATCATAGAATCTCATGGTTGGAAGGGACTTCAGGAGGTCATCTAGTCCAACCCCCTGCTCAAAGCAGGACAGATTTTTGCCCCAGATCCCTAAATGGTCCCCTCAAGGATTGAACTCACAACCTTGGGTTTAGCAGGCCAATACTCAAACCACTGAGCTACCCCTCCCTTCATGCCCATCTACAGGGCTGCTTTGAAATAAACAAAGAACAATAATAATTTGACAGTGATAAAGCAGGTGACATTCCTATATAAAGTCCTACAAAATCTATAACCACAATAATAATAATAATCTATTTTCATACTAGTATTTAAAATGAACAATGGTGAAATCAAAAGAAAAAGGTCTTATCATGCAGCGCTCAAACTTAAAGTTGTTGAATATGCAGACACAAACAATAATTGTGCCACTGCTCGTGAATTCTGTATCAATGAGAAGCAAGTAAGAGAATGGCGAAAAAATAAAACACTAAAAGACATTCCAAGAAGCAAGAAAAAATGACCAATGAGTGCGCTTCATTTCCTGAGCTAGAGAAAGATCTCAATAATTGGGTTCTTGAATGTCGACAAAATGGGTACATTGTCACTAGAACTGGAATTCGTTTGCGTGCTCTGCAAATGTCGAAAGACGACAAATACAAGTCAGTAAAGTCATCAATGTTTGTTGCATCAGCGGGTTGGTGTACTCGCTTCATGAACTGTCATGGTCTCTGTCTTCGTCAGCGAACAATGATAGCGCAAAAGCTGCCTAGAGATCTGGAAGAAAACATTGAATCTTTCCAAAGGTTTATTATAAAATATCAAAAGGAATATGCATTTGAACTGTCACAAATAGGAAATATGAACGAAACACCAATGACATTTGATCTCCTGTGCAACAGAACAATAACCGGTGTTGGTGAAAATACAGTTTTAATTAACTGGCCATGAAAAAAATCCATTTTACGGTGGTTTTATCATGTTTGGCAAATGGATCAAAGCTCCCTCCTGTTATTTTTAAAAGAAAAACCTTGCCTAAAAACATGAAATTTCCTGATGGTGTCATCGTACGTGCACACAAAAAGGGATGGATGGATGAAAGTGGGACTATTGAATGGCTGGAAAAAGTGTGGAATAAGAGACCAGGAGCACTTTTCAAGAAACCTGCTATGCTCACTTGGAACATGTTCAGGGCACACAAGATGGATGAGGTGAAAAATGTGGCCAAAAATATGAAAACTACTTTGGTTGTAATACCTGAAGGCTTAACTTCAGTTCTACAACCACTTGATGTCTGCCTGAACAAACCCTTTAAAGACAGGCTACGCAAAATGTGGTCTGAAACTCTGAATGGATGTGCTCAGGCATGGCGAAGTTGACAAAAGGCGGGAATCTTATGAAGCCCGAAATCCATCTGGTCGCCCAGTGGATCCAAGGACGCATGGGTGTCCATTCCCTCGGAAATGGTAGAAAAATCATTTAGGAAATGCTGTATTAGCAATGCACTCGACGGGTCAGAAGATGATGCCATATTTGATGATGACACAACAGAGGCTGATGATGAGAAGGAATCTGAGTCTGAAGACAACACTGCTGAGATTACGATGACAATGCAGGTGCAGCTGTGACTGAAGCCAAATTTAATGAACTGTTTGGTGAATCAGAGACTGATTCAGACTTTGAAGAATTTTAAGACTTTTTAAAGTCTCATATTGTTTTGTTTTAAATATCCATTTACTGATTTTAAATAGTGACTGTAATTTTGAAGGTGAATACGTATTTGTTCAGTTATTAGAACAACAACAGTTTTTTCGTTAGAGTACATTAAAATAATTCTAGCAAAACTTTTGAGTGTTTCTTGTGATGCCAGTTTTTAAAATATAGCAGGGGTTGGCAAAGTCCCGCAGCTCCCATTGGCTGGGAATGGCAAACTACGGACACTGGGAGCTGAGGGGCTCCGTGCCTGCAGACGCTCTAAGTAAACAAAACGTCCCGAACTGCCAGCGGCTTACCCTGATGGGCCAGGAGCAAAAGTTTGACAACCCCTGAAATATAGGGTCGGATTATGAAAGGGTCATACAGTTTTTGCTATTTTTACCTAACCATCTTGGGGGGTTGGCTTATAAACAAATGGGCTAATGAACGAGTATATATGGTAGAATCATAGAATATCAGGGTTGGAAGGGACCTCAGGAGGTCATCTAGTCCAACCCCCTGCTCAAAGCAGGACCAATTCCCAACTAAATCATCTCAGCCAGGGGTTTGTCAAGCCTGACCTTAAAGTATCAGGGGGTAGCCGTGTTAGTCTATATCTACAAAAACAACAAGGAGTCTGGTGGCACCTTAAAGACTAACAGATTTATTTGGGCATAACCTTTCGTGGGTAAAAACCTCACGACCTTAAAAATCTCTAAGGAAGGAGATTCCACCACCTCCCTAGGTAACCCATTCCAGTGCTTCACCACCCTCCTAGTGAAAAAGTTTTTCCTAATATCCAACCTAAACCTCCCCAACTGCAACTTGAGACCATTACTCCTTGTTCTGTCATCAGGTACCACTGAGAACAGTCTAGATCCATCCGCTTTGGAACCCTCTTTTAGGTAGTTGAAAGCAGCTATCAAATCTCCCCTCATTCTTCTCTTCTGCAGACTAATCAATCCCAGTTCCCTCAGCCTCTCCTCATAAGTCATGTGCTCCAGTCCCCTAATCATTTTTGTTGCCCTCCGCTGGACTCCAATTTTTCCACACCCTTCTTGTAGTGTGGGGCCCAAAACTGGACACAGTACTCCAGATCAGGCCTCACCAATGCTGAATAGAGGGGACTAATCATGTCCCTCCATCTGCTGGCAATGCCCCTACTTATACAGCCCAAAATGCCGTTAGCCTTCTTGGCAACAAGGGCACACTGTTGACTCATATCCAGCTTCTCGTCCACTGTAACCCCTAGGTCCTTTTCTGCAGAACTGCTTCCTAGCCATTCTGTCCCTAGTCTGTAACAGTGAATGGGATTCTTCCGTCCTAAGTACAGGACTCTGCACTTGTCCTTGTTGAACCTCATCAGGTTTCTTTTGGACCAATCCTCTAATTTGTCTACGTCCCTCTGTATCCTGTCCCTACCCTCCAGCGTATCTACCACTCCTCCCAGTTTAGTGTTATCTGCAAACTTGCTGAGAGTGCAGTCCACACCATCCTCCAGATCATTAATGAAGATATTGAACAAAACCGGCCCCAGGACCGACCCCTGGGGCACTCCACTTGAAACCGGCTGCCAACTAGACATGGAGCCATTGATCACTACCCATTGAGCCCAACGAACTAGCCAGCTTTCTATCCACCTTCTAGTCCATTCATCCAGCCCATACTATTTTAACTTGCTGGCAAGAATACTGTGGGAGACTGTATCAAAAGCTTTGCTAAAGTCAAGGAATAACACATCCACTGCTTTCCCCTCATCCACAGACCCAGTTATCTCCTCACAGAAGGCAATTAGGTTAGTCAGGCATGATTTGCCCTTGGTGAATCCATGCTGACTGTTCCTGATCACTTTCCTCTCCTCTAAGTGCTTCAGAATTGATTCCTTGAGGACCTGCTCCATGATTTTTCCAGGGACTGAGGTGAGGCTGACTGGCCTGTAGTTCCCTGGATCCTCCTTCTTCCCTTTTTTAAAGATGGGCACTACATTAGCCTTTTTCCAGTCATCCGGGACCTCCCCTGATCGCCATGAGTTTTCAAAGATAATGGCCCACGGCTCTGCAATCACATCTTCCAACTCCTTTAGCACCCTCGAATGCAGAGCATATGGCCCCATGGACTTGTGCTCGTCCAGTTTTTCTAAATAGTCCCGAACCACTTCTTTCTCCACAGAGGGCTGGTCACCTTCTCCCCATACTGTGCTGTCCAGTGTAGCAGTCTGGGAGCTGACCTTGTTCGTGAAGACAGAGGCAAAAAAAATCATTGAGTACATTAGCTTTTTCCACATCCTCTGTTACTAGGTTGCGTCCCTCATTCAGTAAGAGGCCCACACCTTCCTTGACTTTCTTCTTGTAGTTAACATACCTGAAGAAACCCTTCTTGTTACTCTTAACATCTCTTGCTAGCTGCAACTCCAAGGGTGATTTGGCCTTCCTGATTTCACTCCTGTATGCCTGAGCAATATTTTTATACTCCTCCCTGGTCAGTTGTCCAATCTTCCACTTCTTGTAAGC